TATTGGGTAGGAGTATCGATAAACCCCCATATGGGTATCAATATTGGGGTTTTTTCAAAACATTAAACGGAATTTGGTATCGATACTCAGGTAAGTATTGATACCCTATTACAAGAGTATCGATACTCAACCTAGAATATCGATACTACTCTACCCAAATAGCCTACATAAGCTTGGGGGTATCGATACCAGTAAGTGGGTATCGATACCAAAGGTTTAGTATCGATACTGAAAGGTCAGTATCGATAAAAATGAACATTTTTGGATAATTAATCCAAGGATTAAGGGATCAGATTCTAGGTACCCCATGTACTCCGAATAACAACAAGTAAAACTCCAAATGATAACAGTAAATTTATATCAGAATAATAGAAACAATAACTGCTAGGACGAAATAAAACTAGCCTTGTTTTCCCACTCGGGAAAACGATAAGGACACCCGAGTTACTTTAGAAATGATACTAATATCGAGCAACAGAATCAGTTCGAATATCCTTAGGTAGTGCGCGAGGAATTTTGAAACTGACTAATTAGGGTCGAGGCCCAAGACCCACGAGGGTGAGTTAGTCGAGGGTATTGTGTCCGATGTAGAGAGTTTGGGCCTAATCCTCGGTGGACTAGAGGGGTGTGTAAGCTCCGAGATGCAAAACCCTCAGTCGCACCATGATGTTTGCCATATAGTAGAGAGTATAGTATACGAGAATACTCACTATTGCATTATTCTAGTTAACTTGAGCATTTAGTGAACACTTTTAGTATGGCTTAGTTGTTATTATGGCACTGAGCTAGTTAGATCAGTGTTGGGAATTTGTTTCCTTACGCATGTTAGTAGAGGAGCAGTCGAGGAGCTTTTTTGAAGCAGCAGTGATCCAGACAAAGTTGTGTGCAGAGTACATCTCGAGGTTATTTCTTTAGAGGACATTTATATTTGTAGACCCTTTTTTTTATATTTGAGTTGTAACTTTATTCAAAACATTGGTCTCTATATATTGATATATTTTATTTTGGGAGCTTCCCGATGTAAAACCTTGTTATAATTATGGACGAATTTCTTAAGTGAAATGATTTTAAAGTGGCCGATTTATAACGAAATTAAGAAAAGTTTTGGTTAGACACTTCGGTGGTTCCGTGTGATATTTTAATCGGTCGACTGTGTGTCATACTAGTTTAGGGTGTAACAAATTGTGTTATACAATACACGATAACATACATATTGATAAACATTGGCATATTAGAACATTGAAGCAAATCTTAAATTTGTATATCAATTGCATATATATTTTTATAAATTAGTTAGTACAAGATTAAAAAAATAAAATTTAAGATTTATATATATTTTATAAGTTAAATTTAATGTTTCTTTTTCTCACTTTTTTAATTTAATGATTATATATATAATCTTAAATTGAATATTTTTAATTTAATTAATAATTATAAAAATAAAAAAATTAGTTTAAAATTATTTATATAATCATTGAAATATAAATGTGAAAAGCATATTAAATTTAGATTCAAAATATACAAATCTTAAATTCATTTTTTTAATATTGTATCAACTATTATTTAAAAAAATATATATAAAATCTATCCGAAAATTAACAAAATTTAGGATCTACTTTAATGGTTTAATACTCTTAAGATTTTTAGCTCATGTTCAAATCACTTCATTTCCATTTCCTTTCTTTTTTCTAGCATTAAGTATAGTATATATATTATTGAGTATTTTAAAACCCAAATGATACAGTTGGTTAAGTTGGAAAGGCTTCATGTTATATCCATTACACTCAGGTTCGACTCTCATGAACTCTTTCTATACACTACTTTACTATGTTAATTATTTTTCCTCCAATCAGATAATGATAAAGTGGATAAAAAAATACCTAAATTAAAAAATTTAAATTATGAAACAATCCTTCAATAAAATAGTGACACATGTAAAAAATGATTAGATGATTAAATTTATTAAATTAAATTAAAATTATGATTAAATTGTCAGAATATATAACTATTGAGAACTAAATGTGGAATTATGTCATTTTTGTTAACTGTCACATCAATACTTTAGTTAGTTGTTGTTAACGGCATGTGACTCGATTGACAACAATTAAATAATTAAGTAGTATGATTGAAAAATTGATGATAAAATAAAATGGCTAAATAGTTGAGTGGTCAATGCTATAGTTTACCCTAAATAATTTACCTTTAAATTTTTAACTAATTTATAATTATACGTTTAGCTCTTTACAATTTTAAATTTTTATAAATTAAATAAATGGTGCTCATCGTTAGTGGTACTAATCGGTGTTCGTCGAGTGTTGTAGAATTTTCCTAAATTATTATACCTTTCTTCAAATATTAAGGATCTATATATATAGATTGGGTTTGCTCAAATTTTATGTTAATCTTAATTGAAAAATATACACCCTCCACTCAAAATTTGACTCGAACAGAATTTAGGATGACTTCAACCAACTCAAACTTGACCTTTTTTATATATAAAATTCAAACTCAACCTTATCCGACCCAAAACAAATAAATTTATAAAAATATTAATTTTATTCTATAAATATATAAAGTATAATTATATTTATTTTCGAGTCGGGCCAATTCTGGTAAGGTTTTTTTTATTCTAAACCTAAATCTAATCTGATCCAATAAACCATTTTCGAAAAAAATCCAACTGACTAAATTGTTTGAAAACCTCTACTTAATATGATCAGGTCAAATCGAATCCGTCAAATTTAAGTCCAGCGTATATCCCTATCAAATATAATCTTTATCATTTCAATGAATATTATTTTAGTATTTAATTTTTTATACGATGATAAAGGGGTAAAAAAAGCTTGAAATTGCAGGATTAAGCAATAAACGTTCATTTTCTATGGAGGCCATATTGACATTAGCCTTGTAATTCACTATAGTAATTATAAAGTAAATATCTTTCTAGAATTTTTTTAATATATGTATTTTATAAATATAATTATTCAAATTTATAATTTTATAAAGATAATATTTTACTTAATAAATTCTTTTGCTGCCAAACTTAAAATACAAATATCTGAAATGTGGTCTACACATCAAATAAATGGGACTTGAAATTAAAAAATGTTTAAGACTTAATAGATTTTAATATCTTAGAAATCCGTGTAGCTTGTTTCCTGCCTTAAAATCTGGAAACATTTTTTACAACAGTTTCCTTCTTTCTTCATTTTTTTTATATTACTGTAATGAAATCACTCTTTAAAGCTTAATGTCAAAATAGACCCACCATTTAATAAGCATTTTGTACAAACACTGGCATGTCATGTTAAAACATGGACATTTGAATTCTCTTTTCATTTCTAATTGCCACTTGTTCTTTTTTTAGTTTTTTGTCTACATCTATACTAGTAGTAATTTGAAAATATAGAGAGATAACATCCTATTACATAATGTAAAACTCTTTTAGTTTTTACACGGATTTAGAATTGTTGGATGAGTGAAAATAGATGATTGAGATTAACAGTAGAAAATGTGAAGATATTCACTAGAAAAAACAAGAAGTCAATGTCAGTGATATATTTTAGTCATCAATTGATTATATGTCTGTGTAAAACTACTGAATGTTACAGTGTGTAAGTGGATCCTAACGCATATATACATGAGAAGTTGTTTTAAATAAGAGTGGTAATTTATTTATCTTCTATCAATGATAGAATTGATTGATATTGAATTATTTAAAATTTATTATTTAAGAATTGAATATAAAAATATTCATAGATTTATCTAAAAATATTTTATTCTTAGTTATGATCATTTGTTAAATAATTTTTATAAATAAATTACTTTGCATAAAATATTAAATATAATAAAATCTAAATTTTTTAAATTATATTAAACATGTTCATTTTAAAATTTATCTACATCTCTTGAATAGACACCATTCATTTTAAAATATATCCACTAATCGTCCACTAAAAAGTTTAAGCTTTAATTAAATTTACCACTATTGCATAAAAGACTTCTAATTTAAGAAGTATAAATCTTCTAATCAACTAACCTATAATATACTGATCATAAAATTATTTGCATCCTGATTAACATTAAATATCGAATTAGATCCGATCCATTATCTTTCTTGTCTTTTTACAGAAATATAAATTTTATAAATAACATATTTATTTAGTCTATATCTTCAATTACTTTAAATACTATTTTTTGAAATATAAAATTTTATATGTAACATATTTTTTTACTATATTATATTTTTTATTAGTCTAAAGTGATTATGAATTTATTCGAACTCCTGCATATATCATACTCAAACTCAATACCTCACGAGTAGGGGTGAGCATTCTATCGAGTCGAGTTGAGTTAAAAAATTTGAGTTGAAGAGTCATATTTTACAACTTAAATTGAAATTGAAATTTTTTCAAGTCGAGTTGAGTTTAATAAATTTGAGCCAAGTTATTCGAGTCGAGTTATTTGAGTTTTAATGCTAATATATCATAATTATTTATAGTACTATGGTAAGGATTGTTTCCAAATTTTTTTTAACTTTCTCTAACAATATAATATATATATTTCATATTCTTTTCACATTATAATGTTATTTAATATATCAAATATAACTTAAAATTATAAAATATATTTAAAATATTATATTTTATTTATTTTGAGGATAAAATATTGATGATAGTATAAAAGAGATACGGAATTGATGGGAGAAAAAAATTTACAAATAATTACGGTTAAAAGATCAAATTAAATAAAATGTAATGGTAAGGGTCTAAATAAAAATGAGAGTACATTTCAGTAAAAAAAAATAAGAGTTGAAGTTACACAGATATTTTATAGTGATATACGATCATGTATTTCAAATTTAGTAAAAAAAAAAAACTTAAAATAATTGAAGAAATAAGAAAGATGATACATTTTTAGTAAAAAAAAAAAACTATACAGATTCTCGATACTCGCCTTTTTTTGGGTCAGATTCTCAGTACACTTCAGTTCCCCCAAATTCCAAATACCGCCATAGCCATGAAGAAGTCTTCTCCTCGACTTGAAAGACCTAAAACCTTCAAACAAGACAACAGCAGCTTGAGTTATTCTCCCAAGCTCTGCCTTTACATGATCCCCATATGCATCACCCTCTTACTCCTCCTACAGTTCCAGTCCTTACAACAATGGCAAAACTTAGTCTTCAGATACACAGCCTTAGTCTCCCCACAAAACTGCACCATCACCACCACCCAAGACCACGAATCCATATCCCAAAAGCTTAGAGATTCCGTCACGTTTCTCCCCTTGAAAGACCTACGTTTCTCGAAGCAGCCCCTCGACGGCCACACATGGTTCATGAGTTCCATGTACGATACACGCGAGGAAGGCGAGTTCCAGCATCAACAGTTCCCTTCCAAATCCTCAAAACACCGGTTACTCTGCCTTAAAGGCCGCGAAACGCACGATGGTTCCTGGAACTATTACGCTTTGGCTTGGCCCGAGGCGCTTCCTTCCAATGCTACCCTAATGAAAGGCCTCACTTTCGTGGCCTACAACCATTACAATTTCGATAACATCTGGCACGGTCTCTCCGCCGTTATGCCTTTCGTCGCTTGGCATCGGAACAACAATTGCGAATCCCCGGCGAGATGGGTGCTTTACCATTGGGGCGAGCTGAGATTCAAGATGGGGACGTGGTTGAATACCTTGATGGAGGCTACGTTCGGCCAGCCTCCTTATATCGAAGGGTTTAGAGACATGGAAGATGAGGGTCGATCGGTTTGCTTCGAGAAGGCTGTGGTGATGAGACACAACGAGGGAGGGATGTCGAGGGAGAGAAGAATGAAAGTCTATGATCTTGTAAGATGCAAGGCTAGGGTTTACTGTAATGTAAGCATTAAAAGAAGGGTTAACCATGAAGGACCCGACATCGGTATGACCTTGCTGATGAGGACGGGACCAAGGTCTTTCAGGAACGAGACGGCCGTCATTCGTATCTTTGAGAAAGAGTGCAACAAAGTCAAGGGGTGCCGGTTAATGGTGGCTTACTCCAATAACCTCACCGTTTGTGAACAGGTAAATTTCTCTTGTGTGAAAGCAGTGCAATTGTTGGTAGGTAATATAGTATTCTGTTTGAATTGTGCGATACGTTAGTGAACGCATCTCCTATTAAAATAAGTTATAGTGAGGGATATTGGGATTGATGTGGCTCCTTCAATGATTCTAATTATCTATAAATTCTCGTAGGATTATAACACGAAGCATTGATGTTTCAACTCAAGGAATTAATATCATGTTTGCTGAAATTGCAGGTGAAGCTAATGAGTTTAACAGACATTCTAGTATCACCACATGGTGCTCAACTCACCAACATGTTCTTAATGGATCGAAACAGCAGCGTGATGGAGTTGTACCCCAAGGGATGGCAAAAAGCTGCGGGCGTAGGCCAATATGTGTATCACTGGATAGCCAGCTGGTCCGGGATGCGACACAGAGGCCACTGGAGAGATCCCAACGGCGAAAATTGTCCCTACTCGGATGATGATCGTCGATGTATGTCAATCTACAAAAATGGTCTAATCGGACACAACGAGACCTATTTTGCCGATTGGGCTAGAAATGTTATAAACGATGTCAAAACAAAGAAATCCAAAGAAGAGGCTTCGAGACACGGACCAGCTCCTATCACAACTTGTGATTGCAGTTAATTGGGTTTCATTTTGTTTCCTTTGGGCATAATTTACATTCAACACTTTTCTTTTTTTTTAATAGTACCAAAATAACGATAAAATAATATTTGTTTGGAATTTTTTAAATTTTTTAATAACATGCATTAATCTTACATACCAACTCTTTAAACCCATAATTTTTACGAAAATTTTATAATTTTTATAATTAAAATCACCCAATAAATTTCATTTAAAGGGATTCTTCTATAAACAATAATTCTTATTCATTTGATTTTAGTTTCTCCAAAATCCAAAGGATTTCAAACTCCACGTGACAATGGAAAAACTGAGTTAAAAGTGGATCCATCTTCATATATTCTATTGTTCTTTTAATCATATTATTATTTAGTATAACTTTTAGTAACATTTATATAAATTATCATTAATCATGTAGAGAAAAATAATAGATAAAAAATAATGCATAAAAAATGTATTAATAACACGTCACCTTGGTCCACTAAATTCTAAATATAAAATTAGTAAATGTTATCGCATATCTCTCTCAATTCTAGGTCTTCATGTGCTTTGTTCGCTAAACAGTAACAGCTATATCTCTCAATTGTGAATAATTCTAATATTAAAAAATAAATTTAAAACATAAAATTAGAGAATTATAGAACTTTATAAATTCTTTTATATTTGTTTTTCTGTTTTATGATGTTTATTTTTTTTATTGGCTTAAATATACAAAAAGGTGCTAAACCTATGCTTTTTTTTTTAGTTTAATGTCTAATATTTATTTCGTTTAAGTTTGGTGCATAACATTTTACTCTGTTACTCATTTAGGTGCACGGGCTGTCAACAACGTTAATTTCCCTGTTAAGTGACATGTGTTTTTAAAATTTATTTAAAATTATATATATATTTTTTTAAAAAGAAGACACAAATTTTGAAATAAACTCAAAACTTTGAAAACCTTAATTTCAACCCGTAAACCCCGTCGACCGTCGCCTTTTGCCGTCGAAGAAGCTCCACCTAACCTCCCATCCCCTCGGTGACCAAAACCCCCATAAAATCATGATCAATCAATAGTCGATAGATGACGAATCAACTTTTTATACCCCGTGAACCCTAGGATGAAAATACAATCCCATGCATTCTGATGACCGATTGATCGTCGATCGGTCACAATTTCATAGGGATTTTGGTCTCCGAGGGGAGGGTAGTCGGGTGGAGCTTCGACAACAGAAAAAGGTGACGATCGACGTGGGTTTTGGGGTTGAAATGAAAGTTTTCAAAGTTTTGGGTTTATTTCAAATTTTATGTTTTCTTTTTAAATATATATATATATATATTTAATTTTAAATAAAATTTTTAAACTTACTAGGTTGTGACACGTATCATTTAATGGCCAAACTTAACAGTCGGTCCCGACTTGACCCATTTTGAGTAATAGAATGAAACATTAGGCTCTAAACTGGAACGAAATAAATGTTAGACACTAAACTAGAAAAAGGAAATAGGTTGGACACCTTTTATACATTTAAGCTTTTATTTATTTATTTTAGGCGTCTTTTTTATTTTATATAATATACTCTACATTCTAATCGAGTCAAGTATTTTTTTAACAAAAAATACTACTAAAATAACGATAAGATAAAATAATAATATAAAGAACATCTGGAAACATGCTATAAAGAGTAATAAAAATTGTCATAACGACCTTGTTTTTATAGACTGATGACGGTTTTTGAAAAAGTTTGTAAAAAAAAATAGTTGTCACCCATCACTTTTAAAGTGAGATTGGGTCACATAAAATCAGATAAATTTAAATAAAATACTTTATTTTATAAAAAATATTCAGTTTTGGTTTGAGAAATCAGAAAATGAGTTTGAGAGTCGATTACGTGAGGGAAATGATTAACACCCCACAATGCCCAAATTGGTATTTAGTTGATTATCCATGGTTCTAAAATTGAAAATTATGAGTTCGAGATTTTATTTAATTTTTGGCTCGTTATGTATGAAGATTTGCAAAGGGTATTTATGTAATTAGGAATTAAAAATAATTACCCCGAGCACAAGTGGATGTTTACCATCAACACTATTACATAAATATTGTCTTAATTTTAAAATCATAATGAAAGAGTTTGAAAAGTATGTCAATTTATTATGGGAGACAATAACGGTTACCCCCGAGCACAAGCGAAAGATTCATTATTAGAACCCAAATAAATCAACATTGCCTTTATTTTTTAAAACCTAATTATGCTAATGGGTTAAATAAATAAGGCTTCATCTAACTAAAGTGTCAAATTATGGATTAAAGGACTTAATAAAACTAATCCTAAAATTGATGCTCTAATATTAAACCTAAAGATCTTAATATTTTATTCATTTAGTTAAATTAATTAAAATTTTACAAGAGACTAATCCTAAAGTAAAGGCTTCATCTAAGTCAAGAGTAAATTATTTAAAGAACCCAAACCCAAAATTAAGGCTCTAAATATTAACCCTAAATAACTTTTGATATTTTAATTGAATAATAAAAAACCTCAAACATAAGCAGAAACTATTTTAAGAAATTCCCTAATTATTCAAAGTGATTACCTAATAAAAGGAAGGCTGATAGTTTTGAATCTAAGTCAAGTAACCTCCAAAATTAAGGCTAAACTAAATACCATGGAACCAGGGGCTAATCTAGAAATTAAGACACACCAAGTTTAAAGGGGATACGTACAAGGAAACTCAAAACAAAATAAAGTAAAAACATATATACATGGCTAAAAATAAAAACTAAGGAAATAAAATTAAAAGGAACAAAGACATGCATGAATCAAGTATATTCCATAGCAACACAAATGGCTTAGATCACGCACTACTAAAGGAAAAAGAAACATAGAATCATTACCATTGAACTGCCACATTAAAGTTAATGTGAAAAATGTATGGAATAAAAATAAACAAAGCAAATAAACTATAACGAAACGAGATTTACCAAGTTCGGTAAGAAGCAAATAAACAAAATAATAAAATAAAGAATCTGATAAAATCAAAATAAAAGTGGAATTGGGAGCCAAATCGGAGGAAAAAAAAGGTTAAATTAATATGAAAAAGTACCAAAATGATTTTTAAGAAACTTTATGGGGACTGATTTGGGAATTAGACCCTACAAATTAAAAACGCGTGGGTCTTGGGGCATCCAAACGGGTCCTCGGGATCTCATCTTGTTGGGATTTGACATTACTACGACTAATCAAGATGACATTTATTTGTTAACATACTAATCGTTCATGCTTTGGACCCTCATATTGGAGTTGGATACGTGATTGTCGTTCACGGAAAGTTTTCTCACGCCGTTCAACTCGTATTTGTGGGTTGTCAATGGTCTGTCAATAGTTTGGTCCCTTTTTATGATTCGTCTGCCGATACAGTTAGATATGTTAGTATCTACATTTTATTCAAGTTTATTTGATTAGGTTTTTTTAACATTTTCCTTGTATGATCATCGTGTGATCTTAAATAACTAGTTTCTTGTGTTAATGGTCATAGGAAAATATTATTATTATATGTTTAGTTTACGAGCTCTACAACAAAATAGATTTTTAGCTCTATAGTGGCGTTTTTAAGCAACACTAAAAACTTTCCCGGCGTATGTAACGTCGAAAGAAGCGCCGCTAAAACTAACGCCGCAAAAAGTAGCGGCGTTTGTGAATAGAAAACGCCGCAAAAGCCTAGTTCTATAGCGGCATTTTTATTAAAAACGCTGCAAAATGTCAAGCTCTATAGCGGCGTTTTAAAAAAAATGTCGCTAATTACCTTGTCTTTACTGGCATTTGTTTTCTAAAACGTCATTACATGTTATGGTATTTAGCGGCGTTTGTGGTAAAAACACCGCTATTAACTATGTATATAGTGGCATTTTTTTACAAATGCCGCAATGTGTGGTCATTAGTGTCGTTTGCTTCACAAAACGCCGCAAAAGAACCTGACATCTGGTGCCTTTTATTTACAAATGCCGCTATAGTTAACTGATTTCACATATATAATTTTCTACTTTATATTACGCAAATTTAATTTTCTATATCATTATCTAATAACAATAAACTTAAAATTTAATTACGACACATTATGTAAAAAAATAAATCAAAATTTATAAAATTAAAATAAAATGTAACATAGTTCAACATTGTTCACTAGAATTTAGTCTAGGTTCTCTCTTTCAATTAAAAAAACATAGTTCACTAGAATAAAAAACAATCTTCTAGTGGCAATTTGTATTGATCTGCAACTTTAGTTGATTCATTCTCTTACCATTACTGTGATGCGGCAACATTGAAGAATGGTCCAAGGCTGTGGAAAAAAAGACGTAAATTTAGATTACAATTGGAGGTGTTACCAAAAGTTTGAAAACTTTTTCCATTTTCAAAGATCAATTTACCTTTAATAGTGTGAGTGAAGGACAATGCAACAGTAGCAAATGATACATTAGACATGACATGTCCAAGAGCATGTCAGAAAGCAACAGGAGTCAATAGAACCAAGAGCTCATTATCAATTGGCCGGTAAAATAGGAAGAGATTGTGTTTTCTTTAGAGGAAATCCATCATATAATTTGATATTGAACAAAAAAAAATTGACAAAACAAAGCTTACTGCTCGTGTTGGCAGGCCAACACCCCAAGAAACCAGACAGTAAGCCACTCCGACTACCAGATGTATAACTGAAACAAAACTACAGAATGAAGAAAACGAAGGACACTGTTGATGACAAAACAAGCACTAAAAAAAAATTCCAGCAACCATATAAAATAAATTTTAAATGAGAATTTTACATGTTAAACTCACAGAATAAAGTATCGCTTCATCATATCGATCAAAGATGGATCTTTAGCTTGGCAACTGAAAAACCATTATTATACATCTTTACTGTAGGAATACCCGATATGTACCAGCAGTCATAGGTTTCATTTACCTGCAAAGGAGTACAGATTCAATTATATAAAATTGCACTTTTAAAAGGAAGAATCAGGTCTGTGC